CTGTATAGTTAAACATATAAATAATACACACTGAATACTTCTTCCACCACGGATATGTGTGTGAGAGGAAACTACAGATTCTGCAGACATTTTCAGAATTTCATAAAAGAAAACGGGGGGAGACAGCAACGACTAACAGCGAGAAATAAGACAACATGTGAGAGCGAGAGGACTGAGGAAGAGAGGAAGAGAGACAGAGGAAAGAGGAGGAGAGAAAGAGGAAGTGTTAAGAGATGAAGAAAACTCCTCAGTACCGCACCTTTCTGCTGACTCATGTCTACCATGCGAGGCTCGGCCAGCTCCAGGTAGAAGTTCTTGTTTTTCTCATACTCCTCATCGTCAATAATTTTCACGTGAACAAGTTTGCTGCAAGAAGAGGAAGAGGAGGGACAGAGAGGGGGGAAGAGAGAAGAAGAGGAGAAAGGTTAATTTGTGATGGAGGGACACAGGAAGTGCTCTGTACTGTAAGTAGGATTAATAAACAGCGAAAGGGAAATGTTAGGAGGTGAAAGGTTGCTTTTTTTTATTCATCTTTAAATCTTCAAGTTTCTGTAGCTGTAATGCAACGTTACATTTAAACATTCCAACAGTAGAAATTAACTAAATTAACAGTTCAGTCAGACAACTCACGTGTTCTTAATATGTTTATTATAAGCAGCATATAGTTTGAGTTTGGCGTCTAGGCCTCATCACTCCACAGATTTACAAAGAACATTGAGTGATGATTAGATAACTATCCCCGAGCCTACAGGTGGAAGCTGGGGTGGAGCTGGGGTGGGGGCAGGCGAGCAGCAGCAACATGAAACACAGCAGCAGGAACATGAACGCAGCAAGTGAACACAGCAGTGCAGCAGCAGCAGCATAGCGAGGCAGAGGCAGGAAGACCTAGCAGCTTAAATAGAGCCGCATGTTTAGAGCATGTGTTTGGTTGGTTGCAGTGTTGCCAACTCCATAGTAAGGAAAGTAGCTATTAGCTGTCCTGAAAGTCGCCAGAAGTCGCTAAATGACGTCATCGCCTACTTTGCATATCATGTAATGGCGGCTGTAGGACAGAGCATGGTAGAGGGGAGTACAAACAACGTTCCCAACCCTTCCAAGGATCAAAAACTTGAAACCACCGGAGTTAATCCAGACGACAGTAGATCAGAAATGTCTTTGCCTTTTGAGTATGTTTTGGGGTTTTAACATGACAGTTTGGCATAGAAATCCCCCTTACAAAAAAAGGCAGTATGCCCGTGTGTCATCTCCAATAAATGGCTTCAACCATCCTTTATACTCAGGGTTTGATTCCCACTCCTTTCTGTATTTTTGAGAATACAATTTAGACTGTGCCATGATGTTTAGCTTGTCACAGAGATGTTTAGCTTGTCACAGAGAGGCACACACACAGTGGACGAGGTGATTGACTGACTGAGGCTGTGTGAGTCAAAGCAAAGCAAAGGCAGTTATTTATTATAGTGTGAAAGAGAGTGAAGAAACATTTACATTCAACATTTAAATCCCGCTCAAAACCAGGACGGTTTGGCAGTTGGCGCATGCGCAATTCATTTGCAGTCACGACGCGGGGGAGTGTGGTTGTCTCCTCTCTGCTCTGACTGCAGCTGCGGCCAGACAACTGTCAGTCTGAGCGCCTGTGAGTACTATGGGAGGGAGGCGGGGCTCACGGCAGCACCGTGAGCTCGTTAACTGCAGAACAATGTGAGTCTCCAAACACCAGAAAAGTCCCTAATAACACCATTATAAATCGTTAGATTAGTCGTTAGTCGCTTTTGATACAAATAAGTAGCCGGAGGGTTTGGAAAGCCGCCAAATTTAACGAGAAAATAGCCAAGTTGGCAACACTGGTTGGTTGTAAGAGGGACGAGGTGCGTCACGTGGTAATGTATGATTGGTGCTCGAGTTGACTGCCTGAACTAGCTCGCAGGCTTCGCCCCATTATTGTACGGTGGCCGATAGGTGCAAACGCAGTAAAACGGCCCAAATGTGCATTTGTAAAAGAAAGATAGTGCTTCTTCTAAAGTTTGCTAATCTCTCTTTTAAGCAAGCTAACTTGTATGCAACTTTTGCTAAGCATTGACTGTTTTCACAAGTGTCAATTATCAAATTAATAATTTCAAATAACACAATATTCATCTAACGTTTGCTAACATTAGCCACCAGATGCTAACGGTAACACACAGGATCCCTGGCCGTTTCTGAATGTCGAGTAAACCTGCTGCAGAGCCACTATTTCAAGTATACTACGTCATCGAATGGCGCAGAAGGACTGTTTAAATGCATGTTAAATGCCCAGCATTTTACGTGGTATTCGACAGGGTTGCCCTATTTCCCCAAAATTATTTATTCTGACCACCCAAGTTTTAACAACGCTTATTATAAAGAATCACAAAATATTAGGCATTACCCTCTTTGACAAAGAATTTAAAATTAGTCAACTCGCGGATGACACATCCATTTTCCTAAAGAATAAATCCATGGTAAAGGAAACTCTTAACACAATTTAAATTTTCAGCATCAGGGTTATCTCTTAATCTTTCAAAATGTGAATTACTCCCTATCCATTCATGTGATGATTCCATTATTGACTCTATTAGAGTGGTACCTGAAGTGAAATATTTAGGAATAACATTATCTAAAAATTATATCAGGAGAGAAAATCTTAATATTTGTAACCGTATCACAGATATGAAGAAATCTCTCAGTCGTTGGTTAACTAGAGATCTTACTATTTTTGGCAGAGTTCTTCTTACTAAAGCAGAAGGTATATCTAAACTTATTTATCCATGCCACTCATGTTTTGTCTCTTCGGCCAATATTAAAAAAAAAAAACTCAATTATTTTCCAATTCTTGTGGAGAAATAAAACTCACTACATTAAAAAGTCACAGCTTGTTAAACAATATGATAAAGGTGGAATTAAAGCTTTAGACTTTGAATCGATGATTGGAACAATTAAAATAAAATGGTTGAAAGCTTTTTTGTCCCAGCCAGAATCCATGTGGTTCCATATTCCAAAGGCCATATTTAAACGTCTAGGAGGGTTTGATTTTCTTTTAAAATGTGATTTTGAGGTTAATAAGATTCCGACCAAATTGTCAAATTTTCATAAGCAGATACTGCATTATTGGAAAATGATATTTACCCACAATTTTTCTCCTCATGGATCTACTTTATGGAACAATAGAGTGATTATTATAAACAGAAAATCCTTGTTTAGGAGTGATTGGCATGAGAGGGGTATTTTGTTGTTAGTGATTTACTAGATTGCAATGGTAAACTGCTAGATGTTTTGGCTTTTTCAACGAAATACAATATAACGTGTACTGCTAAAGATTATAACAAAATCTGTAAAGCAATTCCTGTACCACTTATTGAAATGATTCATAATACTTTACTGTACTCAAATGTTGTATCAGTTTTACCTAGTTTGGAATTTATTGGCGATACTCTTAAGAATAACAAATCTATTAATGCTTCTTTGAAATCTCACATTTTTCACAATTTGAACAGAGGCTTATTTCCACAAGGGACCGATTTAAACACTTTATCTGTAATGGAAAAGGCTCTATCTTATTTTATAAAATGGCCTATTTCTCCTAAAGCAAAAATAAACTCATTTTAAAATTGTTCATAAAATCTACCCGGTTTCTACTTTTTTAAATTCAAGATTTAAATTTGAAGTGGAACCATGTTCCTTTTGTAATTTATCTGATGAATCGTTGGAACATTTATTTTTCTCATGCCCTTTTTCTAAATTGTTTTGGTCGAATGTGAGAGATTGGTTGTTACTTAAATGAACAAACATTCCAGCCTTCAAAATATATCACATTTTATATTATATTGATAATTTGTATTCTCCCATATCTGATTTGGTAAATATAATTATTATTTTGGGTAAATACCATTTACATTGTAGTAAATGGAGAGGAGGCAAGCCCTCCTTTCCCTATTTCATAAATGAGTTCAAGTCCTTTTTTCTGTCCCTTAGGAAAATACAATCTTGTAACATGTCTATAAAGATTTGCAATGATGACATTTCCAAATGGTTATTATTTTAAGTAAGCTTAATGCCTCTCAAATGTTTTTGTGCCTTTATGCTTTTTTCTCTCCCCCTGCTCTTATTGGATGTATTATTGTTGTCTTATTGTTAATGAATGTCTTGCACTTATGTTGATAAGTTGATGATATCCTCACCGAGCTTTTGTATGTTTTAAAAATGTTCAATAAAACATTTATAAAAAAATATATATATAAAAAAAATAAATGCCCAGCATTCGGCACCACTCGATGACGTAGTATACTTGAAATAGTGGCTCTGCAGCATCTCGACATTGAGAAACGGCCCCTGACATTCATCAGGAGGCGTGTGGCGCAGTGGGTTGTGCGTAGGTGTTCGGGTCAGGGGAGCACAGGTTCAAACCCCACTGCAGTCAGCATGTCGTTGTGTCCCTGAGACACTTCAACCCAAATTGCTCCTGTGGGTATTGTCCACAGTATTGAGTATGTATCGCTTTGGATAAAAGCGTCTAACAAGTAACATGTAATGTAATCACAGCGTCTAATAAAGTGGGAACAGAGGGCGAGAGAAAGTGCACAGCAGAGAGAATACAAGAGCAGCATGAAGTGAAAACAGCCTGTCATAAATCAGCCTGTAAAACGTGTAAAGGGACGTTTCACAAGGGCAAAAAAGGTGAATGCACGCGATAAATGAAAGAAACTGTCGCCGTCCAAATCGATTTTTATGCTTTCAGTCACGGAGACGCCCCGCCTGCAGGTAAGAGAGGAGCAGATAACTGGGGAGTTTATGGCTGAGGTTTGAGGGGAACGATCCTGTAATGAAGTGAAGCGTCTGCAGTGTGAAGCTGTTTCTCTGGCTTCACCTCGCTGTAATGCCTCTGATCGTCTAATTGATCTTTTTAAAGAGTTATTGAGCGGCGCAGCAGATAAACGGTCAGAGAGTGGGAACTCCTCTGAGCAAAGCTTTGTTGGATTCAGCTGGACCCACAGTAATGTCGGGCCTATTAATGGACAATGACATGTTTATGCATCGTGGAAAACACAAAAGAGCAGGGGGATCAGGCAAGGTTAACAAAAGAAAGAAAAATAAGTCAGATTGAAGAAGCAACAACCCGGAGAGAGCACGAGGAACAAAGGCAGCACTACGAGGAATCTCTAGCTTAAAGAATTTTTGTATATGTTTACGTGCAAGAACAACTATGATATTTAGTAGTTAAAGCTTTAATATAACGAGTAAAGCTAGCACAGGAACATCTTAGGAGTCATGGTTAGCATAGCTTAGCATAAAGACTGGAAACAAGTGAATACAGTTAGCCTGGCTCCGTCTAAGAAAAAAATAATTTTCATCCTCATGCAAAGGAAAACATGTTGCATGAAATTCTCTTGTTTCCCTATTTGTCTGCAGTTTAAACACACATTTGAATTCCTCCAGAGACGCTTAGATTAAGAGTTTTTTATAAAGATCGTGTGCTGTGTGAGTGTGTACCAATATGTGTGTGTGTGTGTGTGTGTGTGTGTGTGTGTGTGTGTGTGTGTGTGTGTGTGTGTGTGTGTGTGTGTGTGTGTGTGTGGCCTAGCATTACTATACTTGTGGGGACCTAAATCTGTCTACACAGTCACGTGTGGGGACTCGCCGCCCTTATGGGGACAAATTGGAGGTCCCCATGAGGGGAATCATTAATTTTAGGGTGAAGACTTGGTTAGGTTTAGGATTAGGGTTAGGGTTAGGCATGTGTTGGTTATGGTTAAGGTTAGGATACGTCTCCAGGAAATGCATGTACAGTAAGTCAATGTAATGTCCCCTGAAGTGGCGTGTGTGTGTGTGTGTGTGTGTGTGTGTGTGTGTGTGTGTGTGTGTGTGTGTGTGTGTGTGTGTGTGTGTTTGTCATTATTACATTGTGTGGCCATGCATCAGACAGCCCAGTCACGCCGTGGGGTCCAATTTTTTTGTGGGGTCCAAAACCCTGGACCCCACAAATTTTACCTCATATTCATTATAATTAAGGTCAGAACTATGCCCTGTGAAGTTTTCAGGGTTGTCCCCAAAAATCACTTTTACCGACTTAGTGTGTATAAGTGTGCTAACAGGAGGTAACTCAGTATCAGCCACTACTGGCCAAGGCAGGTACTGCATCCCACACACACATTCCATTCTCCACACACACTTTGCTGAACTGCGCATGTGCAAGCAGCCATCTTCCAACATATTGAGCTGTTTGATTAGCTGGTAGCACTTAGCTCCTTAGCTTAGTGTCTTTAATGAAATACAGAATTAAAAACACAAATATATACATTTTTGGTGAGTTTGACTTGTGTTGTCACAATAACAAGCAATGAATCATTAATCATTAATTATGTAAATAACAAATATAAAAAGATTTGAGAGATTACAGACTACAGCTGTTGTTAGCATAAATGCTAACTTAACATTGAAAATGCCATAGACAAGCTAAACGTTAGCATACATGCTAACTTTACATTGAAATCGGCTTAGACAAGCTAACCGTTAGCATAAATGCTAACTTAACATTGAAAACGCCATAGACAAGCTAAACATTTGCAAAATGCTAAAATATTATGTTCTAAGAGTGCTCAGATCTTGTGCTTGAGTAAAAGATTACTCAGATATTGCACTTGTCACCTTTTTCATACCTGATGAGTTTACATCCCTGTATATATATATATATAAAATACAAATAAAAATGTTCTTAATATTAGCCTTGTTTTAATGGTCAGATTGGGTCACCTTGATTTAATATTGGGACATTCCTGGTGGGCGGAGACAGGAATTCTCATTGTGATAGCATGACCACCCTTACAGGATGTGCTGACTCTTTAAAACAAGCGCTCCATATGAGGACAGAACCACGTGAATTTCGTTTTGCACTTCACTGGCAGTGGGATCGTAGCTAAAAAGGTGAGTTATTATTTTAAAGGCACATATGTTACTGAACATTAACCAGGTAGCTTACATTCAGACTATGAAAATGTGTTTGCATGCTTTAAAATGTAGCAATCAACATGAAGTAACTCAGTAAAAAACAGTTATAGCAACAGGTTTTGTATATTAATAATTTCACTTTGGAGAGATTGCTACCTCATGTTAGCAGGCTAGCTAACGTTAGCTAACGTTGCTAGCATTGAAACACCTGCTTAGTCTGCTTCAATCTAGGGCTGCTCAATTAATCGTATTTTAATCGCAATTACGATTATGGCTTGCAACGATTACGAAAACAATGTAATTGAAATAAAACGATTATATTTTTATTTATTTTTTTGGAAATTATTTTTTTATTGGTTTTTCAGTTGAATTGTAATTACAGTTCAGGGTAATCAACTGTTAGAACATACTGTTCACATTTTTTTTCTCCAATAAATTGATGTTTTCAAGGTAAATGGATAATCGTTTTTAATAATGGTGATATCAATTATTGACCCAAATAATCGAGATTATGATTTTTGCCATAATCGAGCAGCCCTACTTCAATCCATCAACTAGATGTAGTTGTCTAATACTTAAAGTATTTGAATGAATTGCAATAATTATGGTGGTGTCTGGTCACATTAACGCTTCATTGTTTTTGATTATAGGATACACTATGGCGGGACTGAGACGCAGGAAACCCCCCCTCAAGGATGCGATCGAACATGCAAGCGAGGCAGTTGACAAGACTGCAAAATTGGAAGTGATGTACATCAACTCTTTTAAAGGTATGTCTTTTTGTCATCAGTACAATTTGTGTTTTTATGTTCAAAGTTTTATCAGATCCTACAACCTTACTAGTACTTAGAGTTCATTGATTAAAGTACTGTTGCATTAATTGCATCCTCATACTATTGAGAGATGTTGTATTGAAGGGTGGGAAAGCTGAATTGTTTGCCTGGTCTAGTGTGCCAGGATAATGTATAAACCAAACCAGAGCTAATAACTATTATTACTATAAATATAAAACTCTAGTTTTGGTGGATTTTAATAAAAAACCATGGCAAGAAGATGAATAACTGTACATTTAATCATTTTAATAATAACCTGTAATTGGGATAGGTCGAGGGGTCTTTGCCACTTCTCATTTCCAAAAAGGAGACTTTGTGGTGGAGTACAGAGGGGAATTAATACATTCTGAAGAATCACAAAAGAGGAGGAGGATATATCATGTCAGCTGTGCTGTCTTTATGTTTGACTTCTACTGGCAAGAAAGAACATGGTGGTAAGTCCTAAATACAATTTTACATATTTGAAATTGAGTTGCAAGTTGTTATTTTATGAACATAAAACGTGGTTTATTTTTATTTATTAAGTGTTGATGCTGCACAAGAAGATTCCAGTCTAGGAAGATTAGTCAATGATGACCACAAACATCCAAACTGCAAAATGAAGAAGGTCATGGCAGAGAACAAGCCACACCTCTGTCTCTTTGCTCTTCGAGACATTAATCCTGGAGAAGAGATAATATACGATTACGGAGGAACTGATTGGCCTTGGAGAAAACAGGTTTGAAAAATATATTTGCAAAATTTCAAGTAGATTTGACAACGATTTATTTTCTTATGGGTGTGTTAGTAAATATTAGATTAGGAGTTATTCTCTTTCCTCGCATTTAGACTAACAGTTGTTTCTACCTTCTAATTTTTGGATCAGGTAAATGCACCGTCTTATCAATAATAATGTTGAATTATTCTTCAGGTTGGAGAGCCAGCTACTGCCATCGAGTCTTCTGAGGCTGAGATCCCCAGTACGAGTGAGCCAGCTCCTCAGAGATCTTCAATCTCCGACACACAGGTATGTCTTCAATGGATTTTCCCCTTGACTACATTTCCCTAATAATTCAGTATTTACAAATGTCCTGCTTTATTGATATTTGGTATTGGCATTTGATGGTTCAATTGGCTTTTCTGTAGATCAGTGTATCTCTGAATGTGTGCTGCTGAACACAGTCAGGTTTTTGTGATTAAATGGGGTCCAGTCAGAGGGACTAAAGCAGAGTAGTTTCACACACACATGTCAGGGGTCCTGTTGTTGTGGGGTCCACGTTACTGTGTTACTATCACCACATTCAACTACACTTCTTTTGGTTTTTCTGACCATAAACTTGGTGAAGCATCATGTTTGACATGTGTGCTCTAACGTTAGCTCAGTTTGCTTTGTACCATTCATACCAGCTGTTGGTGAGAGGTCAATTCATGCTCCCAGACTCCACCTACACCTCTTTTTAACTGTTTGAGTTACATGAGGCAACATATTTATAGCAGATACCAGAGCCAACCTAACATATCATATTAAAAACGATTATGAGTCACATAAACATTATCCAATACCTCCTTACTCATTGTGTGTAGGTTTTCTGTTCACGTTTAGTGTTGTTGCATTGAAACAATATATTAATAATGTTGAATTATTCTTCAGGTTGGAGAGCCAGCTACTGCCATCGAGTCTTCTGAGGCTGAGATCCCCAGTACGAGTGAGCCAGCTCCTCAGAGATCTTCAATCTCCGACACACAGGTATGTCTTCAATGGATTTTCCCCTTGACTACATTTCCCTAATAATTCAGTATTTACAAATGTCCTGCTTTATTGATATTTGGTATTGGCATTTGATGGTTCAATTGGCTTTTCTGTAGATCAGTGTATCTCTGAATGTGTGCTGCTGAACACAGTCAGGTTTTTGTGATTAAATGGGGTCCAGTCAGAGGGCTTATAGCAGAGTAGTTTCACACACACATGTCAGGGGTCCTGTTGTTGTGGGGTCCACGTTACTGTGTTACTATCACCACATTCAACTACACTTCTTTTGGTTTTTCTGACCATAAACTTGGTGAAGCATCATGTTTGACATGTGTGCTCTAACGTTAGCTCAGTTTGCTTTGTACCATTCATACCAGCTGTTGGTGAGAGGTCAATTCATGCTCCCAGACTCCACCTACACCTCTTTTTAACTGTTTGAGTTACATGAGGCAACATATTTATAGCAGATACCAGAGCCAACCATAACATATCATATTAAAAACGATTATGAGTCACATAAACATTATCCAATACCTCCTTACTCATTGTGTGTAGGTTTTCTGTTCACGTTTAGTGTTGTTGCATTGAAACAATATATTAATAATGTTGAATTATTCTTCAGGTTGGAGAGCCAGCTACTGCCATCGAGTCTTCTGAGGCTGAGATCCCCAGTACGAGTGAGCCAGCTCCTCAGAGATCTTCAATCTCCGACACACAGGTATGTCTTCAATGGATTTTCCCCTTGACTACATTTCCCTAATAATTCAGTATTTACAAATGTCCTGCTTTATTGATATTTGGTATTGGCATTTGATGGTTCAATTGGCTTTTCTGTAGATCAGTGTATCTCTGAATGTGTGCTGCTGAACACAGTCAGGTTTTTGTGATTAAATGGGGTCCAGTCAGAGGGACTAAAGCAGAGTAGTTTCACACACACATGTCAGGGGTCCTGTTGTTGTGGGGTCCACGTTACTGTGTTACTATCACCACATTCAACTACACTTCTTTTGGTTTTTCTGACCATAAACTTGGGGAAGCATCATGTTTGACATGTGTGCTCTAACGTTAGCTCAGTTTGCTTTGTACCATTCATACCAGCTGTTGGTGAGAGGTCAATTCATGCTCCCAGACTCCACCTACACCTCTTTTTAACTGTTTGAGTTACATGAGGCAACATATTTATAGCAGATACCAGAGCCAACCTAACATATCATATTAAAAACGATTATGAGTCACATAAACATTATCCAATACCTCCTTACTCATTGTGTGTAGGTTTTCTGTTCACGTTTAGTGTTGTTGCATTGAAACAATATATTAATAATGTTGAATTATTCTTCAGGTTGGAGAGCCAGCTACTGCCATCGAGTCTTCTGAGGCTGAGATCCCCAGTACGAGTGAGCCAGCTCCTCAGAGATCTTCAATCTCCGACACACAGGTATGTCTTCAATGGATTTTCCCCTTGACTACATTTCCCTAATAATTCAGTATTTACAAATGTCCTGCTTTATTGATATTTGGTATTGGCATTTGATGGTTCAATTGGCTTTTCTGTAGATCAGTGTATCTCTGAATGTGTGCTGCTGAACACAGTCAGGTTTTTGTGATTAAATGGGGTCCAGTCAGAGGGCTTATAGCAGAGTAGTTTCACACACACATGTCAGGGGTCCTGTTGTTGTGGGGTCCACGTTACTGTGTTACTATCACCACATTCAACTACACTTCTTTTGGTTTTTCTGACCATAAACTTGGTGAAGCATCATGTTTGACATGTGTGCTCTAACGTTAGCTCAGTTTGCTTTGTACCATTCATACCAGCTGTTGGTGAGAGGTCAATTCATGCTCCCAGACTCCACCTACACCTCTTTTTAACTGTTTGAGTTACATGAGGCAACATATTTATAGCAGATACCAGAGCCAACCTAACATATCATATTAAAAACGATTATGAGTCACATAAACATTATCCAATACCTCCTTACTCATTGTGTGTAGGTTTTCTGTTCACGTTTAGTGTTGTTGCATTGAAACAATATATTAATAATGTTGAATTATTCTTCAGGTTGGAGAGCCAGCTACTGCCATCGAGTCTTCTGAGGCTGAGATCCCCAGTACGAGTGAGCCAGCTCCTCAGAGATCTTCAATCTCCGACACACAGGTATGTCTTCAATGGATTTTCCCCTTGACTACATTTCCCTAATAATTCAGTATTTACAAATGTCCTGCTTTATTGATATTTGGTATTGGCATTTGATGGTTCAATTGGCTTTTCTGTAGATCAGTGTATCTCTGAATGTGTGCTGCTGAACACAGTCAGGTTTTTGTGATTAAATGGGGTCCAGTCAGAGGGACTAAAGCAGAGTAGTTTCACACACACATGTCAGGGGTCCTGTTGTTGTGGGGTCCACGTTACTGTGTTACTATCACCACATTCAACTACACTTCTTTTGGTTTTTCTGACCATAAACTTGGGGAAGCATCATGTTTGACATGTGTGCTCTAACGTTAGCTCAGTTTGCTTTGTACCATTCATACCAGCTGTTGGTGAGAGGTCAATTCATGCTCCCAGACTCCACCTACACCTCTTTTTAACTGTTTGAGTTACATGAGGCAACATATTTATAGCAGATACCAGAGCCAACCTAACATATCATATTAAAAACGATTATGAGTCACATAAACATTATCCAATACCTCCTTACTCATTGTGTGTAGGTTTTCTGTTCACGTTTAGTGTTGTTGCATTGAAACAATATATTAATAATGTTGAATTATTCTTCAGGTTGGAGAGCCAGCTACTGCCATCGAGTCTTCTGAGGCTGAGATCCCCAGTACGAGTGAGCCAGCTCCTCAGAGATCTTCAATCTCCGACACACAGGTATGTCTTCAATGGATTTTCCCCTTGACTACATTTCCCTAATAATTCAGTATTTACAAATGTCCTGCTTTATTGATATTTGGTATTGGCATTTGATGGTTCAATTGGCTTTTCTGTAGATCAGTGTATCTCTGAATGTGTGCTGCTGAACACAGTCAGGTTTTTGTGATTAAATGGGGTCCAGTCAGAGGGCTTATAGCAGAGTAGTTTCACACACACATGTCAGGGGTCCTGTTGTTGTGGGGTCCATGGTAATTGGATGATAAAGTAAACATTTAAAAGAAAGATAATTTAATATTTATCTGTAATTCATTTTTTAGTCCTAATAAATCATTGAAATGTTTTTCATACGTTTTTAAATCAAGACATTTAAATGTTTTTTTTAAATGTATACTTATATTAACAATGTCAGCCGTTACTCTTTCCATATGATTATAAGTTAATTAATTTGAAAAAGCACTTCAACATTTGAATAATTTATTTTTTATATTTCATTCACTGTTATAGATTCAGCCAGAAGCTAAAGTAATGGCTTTGCTCTATATTGACACAAATCTAATGTCACGTTGCTCAATGAAATGGTACATGTTATGAAAGAAATATCAAACGTTTTCAGTTTTCTTAATGCTAGTTCATATACATACATCAATGTTTGCGTGTTATGTTAGCATATTCTTTACTATGTTTTCTTTTCTTTAGCATTTAGGTGAAACAGAGTCCTATCTTTTAAAGAAAAAATATGGGATGATGGTTTCCCTTGTAAACTACACAGATTCAGACGAATCTCAGAGTCCGTCCCGAATTGCCATCCATGACGATAGCTCTCAGGTATTGTCATACATTCAGTTTTTCGTGTATTCATGTATTATGTATCATATATATTTCTATTGATTTATTGGTACAAATGCCAACTACATACATTTATTTTGGACACTCCAGGCATGGAGTCCAGGTACTGACATTGAACTCAAAGAAGACAAAGATATTTTCCCAATGCTGAGGAGGACTAAAAGCATACAGGTAAGCAACATTTATGTAGAGATGATCAATGTACTAATCCTTATATGTTGTTACTGGTGGTTTCAATACATTGTAATTTAAAGTCTGAATAGCAATTGTTTAATAGGTGAAGTAATTTATAATTTATTTTCTTAAGATGACCAGCCAGATTGAGTTTGATTCAGATGAGCTCTTTGACCCCAGCTCAGCGGACAGTGGAGAGGAATATATTCCTAAAACGAGTGAAGACTCTTCTGGTACAGACACAAGCGAAGTTATTGACATAGTCCACAAAAAAGACAGCATGCTTGGACGCCAATACTTTCAAAAGCTGTCTCACATCAGTGATGAATGTCTCTTACCAACCCAAGTGAACAGTAGTTCTTCACAGCAGGTGCCCAAGAGAGGACGCTCCCCCTCAAGAAGAGATAGCAATTCCATTATTAAACGCAAAAGACAATGTTTAGGCAGTGGATCCTGTCCCACAACACGAACCATAGGGGGTAAATCGTTAAAACAGAGTATAGTTGGCGACACTGGATCCGTATCTGAAAACTCGACACATGAAGTTGAACCAAATCTTCCTGATGGGGCCTCTTCCCTTCTTACAGAAAACAAAGTAGCTGAAGGTTCACGTTCACCTTGCATACCTGCCGTTTGTAAAAAGGAGGATGGGTCAAGAATGTACAACAAAAAGCAATATTGTTTGTACTGTAAGATAGGAGTTGGAAAAATAGCAAGGCATTTGGAGCGTGCGCATCACAATAAGCCTGACGTTGCACAGGCTTTGTCCTTCCCAAAAGGTTCTAAAGAAAGAAGAATGCATTTGGAACATTTAAGAAACAGAGGCAACTTCGCCCACAATGTTGAGGTATTAAATGCTGGCGTTGGAAATCTTGTTTCTCGCAAGCAACCCAAACAGGACTCTCAAGCACAGAATTTCCTCCATTGTGTTTATTGTCAAGGATTGTTCAACAAGAAACTCCTTTGGCGGCACATGAAGATCTGCAAGTTCAAACCCGATGTTCCACAAAAACCTGGCAAAACCCGTGCCCAGGCCCTGTCTGCATTTGCAGTACCTCCACCACCTGGCGTCAAGATAGAGTTTTGGAAGCTGTTAAACAACATGGTTCAAGATGATGTTTACATTGCTGTCAAATCTGATGTATGTATCATGGAGTATGGTGAGCACCTGTATAACAGGCTTGGATATGATGTTGGCAAGCATGAATACATACGGCAGAAACTGAGGGAGCTTGGAAGGCTTCTGGTATGTTCGAGGAAAACTACTCCCTTAAAGACTATTCAAGACCATGTCAAACCCATCAATTTCTTGTATGTTGTGCAAGCAGTCAAACATGTGGCAGGCTTCGACAGTGAAACCAATACATACAAGTGCCCAAGTCTTGCCCTTAAAATTGGACATAGCTTGAAAAAGATGTCAATGCTTGTTGAAAGCCGTGCAAACGTACAGAGCAACTACTCAGCAGCTAAAGATGCTCGTACGTTCCGCAGAGTATATGAAACCCGATGGAATGAACTGATTTCTGCCGCATCACTGAGAACCCTTCAGGAATCCAAGTGGAATGCTCCTCAGTTGCTTCCATTTACAAAAGATGTCCAGACTCTCCATTCTTATTTAGATGTGCAACAACAAGAAGTTCACATTAAATTGTCTGCAGATAAATCTCCCCAGACATGGTCACAGTTAGCAAAGGTCACTTTGACACAAGTCATTTTGTTTAACCGACGTAGAGCAGGGGAAGTTTCAAAAATGCCCCTATCTGCATATTTGTCTCAAAATCCATCACATCCTCAGGAAGATGTAAATATTGCCCTGTCAGAACTAGAAAAGAAACTATGTAAATACTTCAGGAGGATAGAGATAAGAGGAAAGAGGGGAAGAAAGGTCCCTGTGCTTTTGACCCCAGCAATGCAGCAAGCACTGGATCTGCTCGTCGGCACACGGCAGGAATGTGGGGTTCCTAAGGAGAACATTTACTTGTTTGCGAGACCATCTGCTTTCACCTGCTACCGCGGTTCTGATTGCCTTCGATACTTTGCCAAGGCCTGTGGTGCAAAGAATCCTGAAAGTCTCACCTCTACAAAACTACGCAAGCAAACTGGAACTCTGTCTCAGGTTCTTAACCTCACCAATACAGAGCTGGATCTGTTGGCAGATTTTCTCGGCCATGACATAAGAGTGCATCGGCAATTCTACAGACTTCCTGAGGGCACCCTTCAGCTTGCTAAGATCAGCAAACTTCTCATGGCCTTGGAGCAAGGACGCCTGGCAGAATTCCAGGGCAAGACCCTGGATGACATCAGCATTGATCCTGAGGGTAAAATCTTTTTTTACATGTTCATACATGAAATACCATTTCTGTTTCCAAAGTAATTGTACTTGTATATAAAAACATATTTTTCTAGGGCATTATTGGAGCATGTCAGACTACATTTAAGTGCATTGTGCTTTTACTAATTAATTCTTCATTCTCCTTCCTCTAACCCCAAACTTACAGAGAATGTGCACATGGACAGCGACAATGAGACAGCGTGTGAGTCAGACTCACAAGGTAAATATTATTTTTAAGTGGGACCATGCTATGTCCCATTCAAGTTTGTGGGATATGATCCTGATCTTTAGTACTGTACCATTTTGTATCAGCTGTATCGGCAAGTCAGATTGTTGTAATTACCATAATTTTGATTAGATTTTTGAGCTACTTCATAAAAATACATTAAATATTGCGTCATAAATACAAAATTGTAAGACTTAAATTACTGATGTGATATGAATGAAAGATTACTTTGATATTACAAACCAGTTCACACTGTAGAGCTCAGCTGTAAATAAAAGCAGCGTAGAAATACAAGTTTGTTTGGATAGACAAAAGGAGGGAGAACACAGTAAAGAAAGGATCAGATTTAGTTTTTAGCCATTATACACCCATTAAAAAAAGCCGGATCAAATCTTCGAGTTTTAGCTCGGGATATATCTAATTTTCTTGCAACACCTAATTGATTATTTTGTATATCTGGTTTTCAGAGGGTCAAGTCACATCCACTCAGATGGAGAATAAAACATCAATGAGAGATGGGAGCAATACAGATGAAGCATCGCAACAGGGCCCTATGACACCTCCACCAGCCGCTCAACCACAGACCGAGAGAAGGCAAAAAGGTCAACTTTTTAGACCATACTTTGTTACTGAATGCTCTTCCATGGTTGATGTAATGTTTCATGGTTCTACACTGACATATTTTAGATCTGCTTGTGTATAATGTTAACTCTTTTGAATATATAACATTACATTTGCATCTTCTATTTGCTCTCTTGCATTTTCAGTTACTGGTTAGCAATTTTTCTTTGTTTCAATCCAATGTAAAGGGGTTATTTCAAACGCATTAGAAAATGTATACCTAGTTTACCACCAGGATTATGCAGTAGTTTTGGTACGTTCATGTGTGAGGTTTTGAGATATTCTCCTCTGAAACTTCTGCCACCATGCCCTTTATATCTAAGGTCAATGGAATCAGAATTATTGCTGACATTCTGGGAGAATGTCGTAAAACTACTTAATGTGTATTATTATTTATTATTATGTTTTGTACCAATCAATATTGATTTATTACAGAATCTAAAATGGAGACAGACATATATGAATAACAACAAGTAGCATAATATGTAAATAAATTCTATCAACTTTTTCTCTCAAATAACTTTTCCATAGCAGTTCCAGAAAAACACAAAATAATGTATTTGTCATTTTTATACAGGTCGGCAGCCTTTCAAGAAAAAGCTGTGGGAAAAGACGGAGATCCAAGCTGTTGAGAAGCACCTGATGTCTTTCATTAACACATGTCGCGTTCCGCGGAAAAGCGACTGCGATAAGTGTCTTAAAATGGAAGGAGAAGCACTCAAACAAAGAAATTGGTTGGCCATAAAGTTTTATATAAAGAATCGGATCACAGCTCTCAAGAGCAAAATGTAAAGTGATCATTGATGTCTGTTGACACCATTACTTTTTTTTGTAAAGTGTAATGCTTGCAAAAGTTAAATGTTTGATGTAAGCCGCTATACAAATATATAGATCATACTTTATTTCTTCTTTCACCCCTCATTGATGTCCTCTTAATACCTCCTTTTCTTTTATCTGAATTATTCACAATTTCCTCTTCAACCTTATCTATTTGATCTTCTCTTACCTCTATGCTTTTTAAATCTCATCTCTTTTTTGTAATCTTCCTTTTATCTGAACTACCTTATCATCTCTTCTAGTTTCTCATATTATCTTGTTTTTTTCTTAACACAATTTAATCTTGTCCCTTTTCACACTTTCAATTTCCTCATTTCTTTCAATATCATCTGGAAATACATTATTATATATATATATTTATATATATAAATAATAATGTATTCTAATGTATTGTATGTAATAATTAAAAGTCTAATAACGACAATCTCCTTGTATTTACTGGAAAGCTCTATAATAACATTGTATTGCTTAAATGGAAATTACAATGACTATTTAAGCAGAATACCCATATAAGCATGACTTGTATGGCTCCAATAATTAACACTTAGAACACAAACCCCTCTTTATTTAAAAAGAAGGAAACTGATGCAAATTCAGTAAATGTACTGTGAGTCTCATTCACGAGTTCAGACATCCCTGTGTCACAGTGGTTAAATAGACTAATAAAAAGCATTACTATAATAGCTTAAATATTAATTAAAATGCTATCAGTACATTAGAATTCAATATAATTGTGTCACAACAGAAGCTACATGTTGACACTAAAGGTGAAAATCCTTCTGCATCATGATAGCCCTCACTTTGACAGTCAAAGGTGTTGCATTGTTACCTAAAGTAAGTTTAGTAATAGTGTGCTAAGTGGCCCCACTAATGTTTTAAACCAGACAGTGTATTTTTGGAGCCCACACATGACTAAAAGCCAGACAGTGTGTATATATGGACCCCTCCTGTAACTCTGTACCTGACAAGACCCCATGAAACGGGTTATAGTCCGGTCAGTGACCTCTACTTTCTCTGATTGATAATTTGAAGTGAAATCTTTGTTTGAGTCCACTTCAGGATTCTGCCTGATTTTTTACAGTGCTGTACAACCTTCAGAAAGGGTGGACCCCAAAAGGGATGGTCTGGTCAGGTACCCCCAGAATGTAATAAAGACAAGGGTGTGTGTGTGTGTGTGTGTGTGTGTGTGTGTGAGGCAGTGCTTTGACTGACACCAGCCTCTCTTTATGTCACGGCGCTGGGACTACAGCAGCGGGTCGTCAGGGAAACATGAGCAGCGATCCATAATGAATGCTGCGCTGCCACTTTATTTGCAGAACTCCTGAAATACCATCCCTAAATAACATGCGTGGAAATTGCATTTTTGCTCGGATGAAGAGGGGGAAAAGCGACATTCCTCATGAGATGTCAGACACATAATAAAGTATGTAATCCGTATTTCAGGGCTAGCTGCGCCGCTGTCAGCTTCTGTTAGCCTGTCTGCTGCTGGCAGGGAATGTTTCTGAGCCTGGAGAGAGGAGGAGGAGCGGGTGTTGCGACATGTTCTCAGCATTTGTTGTGTTGCACACTTGGTCATAAAAGGGACTTCTATGCATGCATAAGTTTAAAATAAATTCATTTTATTTTGTGCATAATACAGAAACACACACGCATCATGCTGCATACTTGTGGCTAGGTCAAATGAATGATGCCTCTTAAAACATTAATGAGCACTTTAAATGTCAAACTTCCAATTTAAAAAGGACATATGCTGATGTTCAGGTGTATATCAGTATGTAGTGTCTCTACTTTAAAGAGTCCTCTCCTGCTGATGTTCAGGTGTATATCAGTATGTAGTGTCTCTACTTTAAAGAGTCCTCTCCTGCTGATGTTTCAGGTGTATATCAGTATGTAGTGTCTCTACTTTAAAGAGTCCTCTCCTGCTGATGTTCAGGTGTATATCAGTATGTAGTGTCTCTACTTTAAAAGAGTCCTCTCCTGCTGATGTTCAGGTGTATATCAGTATGTAGTGTCTCTACTTTAAAGAGTCCTCTCCTGCTGATGTTCAGGTGTATATCAGTATGTACTAGTGTCTCTACTTTAAAGAGTCCTCTCCTGCTGATGTTCAGGTGTATATCAGTATGTACTAGTGTCTCTACTTTAAAGAGTCCTCTCCTGCTGATGTTCAGGTGTGTATCAGTATGTAGTGTCTCTACTTTAAAGAGTCCTCTCCTGCTGATGTTCAGGTGTATATCAGTATGTACTAGTGTCTCTACTTTAAAGAGTCCTCTCCTGCTGATGTTCAGGTTATATCAGTATGTAGTGTCTCTACTTTAAGAGTCCTCTCCTGCTGATTGTTCAGGTGTATATCAGTATGTAGTGTCTCTACTTTAAAGAGTCCTCTCCTGCTGATTTTCAGGTGTATATCAGTATGCTACTAGTTGTCTCTACTTAAAGAGTCCTCTCCTGCTGATGTTCAGGTGTATATCAGTATGTACTAGTGTCTCTACTTTAAAAGAGTCCTCTCCTGCTGATGTTCAGGTGTATATCAGTATGCAGTGTCTCTACTTTAAAGAGTCCTCTCCTACTGATGTTCAGGTGTATATCAGTATGTAGTGTCTCTACTTTAAAGAGTCCTCTCCTGCTGATGTTCAGGTGTATATCAGTATGCAGTGTCTCTACTTTAAAGAGTCCTCTCCTGCTGATGTTCAGGTGTATATCAGTATGTGAGTGTCCTCTACTTTAAAGAGTCCTCTCCTGCTGATGTTCAGGTGTATATCAGTATGCAGTGTCTCTACTTTAAAGAGTCCTCTCCTGCTGATGTTCAGGTGTATATCAGTATGTAGTGTCTCTACTTTAAAGAGTCCTCTCCTGCTGATGTTCAGGTGTATATCAGTATGTAGTGTCTCTACTTTAAAGAGTCCTCTCCTGCTGATGTTCAGGTGTATATCAGTATGTAGTGTCTCTACTTTAAAGAGTCCTCTCCTGCTGATGTTCAGGTGTATATCAGTATGTAGTGTCTCTACTTTAAAGAGTCCTCTCCTGCTGATGTTCAGGTGTATATCAGTATGTAGTGTCTCTACTTTAAAGAGTCCTCTCCTGCTGATGTTCAGGTTTATGTTTATGTTTATTAAGGATCCCCATTAGCTTTTGCTCTCGACAAAAGCTACTCTTCCTGGGGTCTGACACTTAAAACAATACAACAATAACACAGCAACATTTAGGACATAAGTCCTGACATCATTAACAACATTAAAAACATCACCAATATCATCAACAACATGCGATCAAATTAAATTAAGTTAGGGTTCACAGTTCACAAGGGTACATGGTCATTAGATGGCCCTTCAATCTCTTCTTGAAAGAGGCTCTGGACTCTATTTCAGTAAGGTAGTTTGGCAATGAGTTCCATTCCTTTATAGTTCTATAAGACACAGAAGAGTTCAGAAGATGTGTCCTGGGTTTAGGTGCCAGTAGATGGCCTGATGTAGCTTATGGTCATGCTCGTCTTGTGTAAACTATTTGATCATAAAAATACTGTGTTTTTTTGCTAAATTGGACTTTTTTAGAAAAGTGATAACACGAGATTGCAGACGTCTCTCAACTGGAAGCCATGATAGGTTTTTATGCATAACTTCAATATGAGTGCGCTTCGAACAGTGGAGAGCTAGTCTGGCAGCCTTGTTTGAGCTATTTGTAATTTCTGTAAATGTGTTTTTGCTGCTGATGACCATATGACCGGACAGTACTCAAGATGTGACAAAACCAGAGACTGAATGACTTGTTTCAAAGTGGTTGGTGTAAGTGTTACATACTTTGTACATTTTCTCGCCACAGCTATGCTCCTTCCCATTTTAGTTACGATACTGTCAATTTGCTTTGTCCACCGTAAACCAGAATCAAGAACAATGCCAAGCAACTTAGTCTCGTGTACCTGTTCCACTGGCTGACCAGCCGGCGTCAGGCTTAATGAGGATCGCTGCTTAACATATGTCTGGATCCGAACACCATTGCTTTTGTTTTTGCAATGTTGAGTACCAGTTTGTTATTGTTGACCCAGTCTGCTATGGCTTTAATCTCTATTTTAAGTAGATAGTTTAACTCACTGCATGTTGATGCTGTACATTGTGGAATCATCAGCATACAGGTGTATATCAGTATGTAGTGTCTCTACTTTAAAGAGTCCTCTCCTGCTGATGTTCAGGTGTATATCAGTGTGTAGTGTCTCTACTTTAAAGAGTCCTCTCCTGCTGATGTTCAGGTGTATATCAGTGTGTAGTGTCTCTACTTTAAAGAGTCCTCTCCTGCTGATGTTCAGGTGTATATCAGTGTGTAGTGTCTCTACTTTAAAGAGTCCTCTCCTGCTGATGTTCAGGTGTATATCAGTGTGTAGTGTCTCTACTTTAAAGAGTCCTCTCCTGCTGATGTTCAGGTGTATATCAGTGTGTAGTGTCTCTACTTTAAAGAGTCCTCTCCTGCTGATGTTCAGGTGTATATCAGTATGTAGTGTCTCTACTTTAAAGAGTCCTCTCCTGCTCATGTTCAGGTGTATATCAGTATGTAGTGTCTCTACTTTAAAGAGTCCTCTCCTGCTGATGTTCAGGTGTATATCAGTATGTAGTGTCTCTACTTTAAAGAGTCCTCTCCTGCTGATGTTCAGGTGTATATCAGTATGTAGTGTTTCTACTTTAAAGAGTCCTCTCCTGCTGATGTTCAGGTGTATATCAGTATGTAGTGTCTCTACTTTAAAGAGTCCTCTCCTGCTGATGTTCAGGTGTATATCAGTATGTAGTGTCTCTACTTTAAAGAGTCCTCTCCTGCTGATGTTCAGGTGTATATCAGTATGTAGTGTCTCTACTTTAAAGAGTCCTCTCCTGCTGATGTTCAGGTGTATATCAGTGTGTAGTGTCTCTACTTTAAAGAGTCCTCTCCTGCTGATGTTCAGGTGTATATCAGTGTGTAGTGTCTCTACTTTAAAGAGTCCTCTCCTGCTGATGTTCAGGTGTATATCAGTATGTAGTGTCTCTACTTTAAAGAGTCCTCTCCTGCTCATGTTCAGGTGTATATCAGTATGTAGTGTCTCTACTTAAAGAGTCCTCTCCTGCTGATGTTCAGGTGTATATCAGTATGTAGTGTCTCTACTTTAAAGAGTCCTCTCCTGCTGATGTTCAGGTGTATATCAGTATGTAGTGTCTCTACTTTAAAGAGTCCTCTCCTGCTGATGTTCAGGTGTATATCAGTATGTAGTGTCTCTACTTTAAAGAGTCCTCTCCTGCTGATGTTCAGGTGTATATCAGTATGTAGTGTCTCTACTTTAAAGAGTCCTCTCCTGCTGATGTTCAGGTGTATATCAGTATGTAGTGTCTCTACATGTCTCCATGCTTTAATGTTCAGAAAGCTCTTTATTTTTCTCATACTGCCTGTGCTGCAGCACCTCTTTTCACCCTCTGTCTGAAACCAGAGCCCAGTCTTCTCTGATTGGTTAGCTGGCCAGCTCTGTTGTGATTGGTCAACCACTTAGAGATGTCCCGCCCCTTAGCCTATCACGTGCAATGCGTTGGAGCGCAGAGAAACACCCTCTGGAGGGAACACAGGGATGCCTCTGCAGACCATTTGCATGCACAGAAACCTATAGAACACTACAGGAGAGGGAAAACCCCCAAAAGCATAGGGCCTCTTTAATATGTGTATATTACGTGGGATATTTATTTTATTTTGTATTTATTTGCAATGCATTTGATACTGAGGTAAGTATTCAGGTTGCATTACTTTTATATTGTGAAACTTAAATAAGGTAATTTTTTAACAATGAATTAGTAAGTCTTTTGGAATACATGTTTAAAGTACCCTCCCAACCCTGTGTATACATATTAATATACAATCCAAGCATCTCTAGAGGAATTCAAATGCTATTACTCATGTAACGCATGGTTGCATCTCTTTCTATAGCCGTGTACATGTGATTTGCCGAGGGGGGAGTCTACTATCTGAGATCCTGTTAGCACACCAGCAGAACAATCCCTCTCTCTTTACATCCCGGCGGTAGGGCTTTCCTCAGATCGCTGTGAGAGATGTCTGCAGAGCTTCTGCTGCAAGAGCAAGCTTTTTCCCAGGAGTGAAGGGAAGAGGAAGCGCTGGAGTTTAATGGACAGGTGGGATCACGCAGCGCTTCCTCCTGACATGCATGTGAACTATGCACGCA